AACGGGTACAAACTTTCCGCCCTGTTTTTAATCAGCGCCATATGAACTCGCTTGTCTCTCGTAATACCCCCGACTTTATAAAGACATACAATAATGCGTTGCAAAACAGAGGCCACGACGATGTTCAAACTTCCTGAGCTGTCGCTGAACTGCTTGCAGCTTGATTATGCGAAGCCCATTGACAGGCACTCACTGCTCCGGCAGGTCAAATTGTTCACGCTTCGACTTCATCGTTTCCCAAGTAAACCAATAACGTGGCGAGGCATGATACCCTCTCGACGAGGGTGATGCGGTTATAACAAAATTATTTTTTTCTGGTGGCTACTTTGTGCATGGTTCATTTCGGTAGCCTTAGTAGGTATTTAAAGCGAATGCCTCGGTTAAACATGTTTCGAGGAAAACCGCGTGTTTGTCACATTTTAGATGTTCAGAATATTCCGCCAGATTTCTATCGTGTCTCACAGCTGACAAGATCGTAGACTCATTCATTTTTTCCTAAGTATTAATTTGCGTGGTAGCAGCTTCAAATCTTGTGCTTACATGGGCATTTGTGATGGTATTCGAAATGAGCGCTTGTCATGAAACCGTTGACGCTTTCGTGAAGCATAACTTAGACGGCAATTTTCGATGCCAACCTTTCAAATCAGAATAGGTCCTTTCATTTAATTCATATTCATACCAGCAATCGTTAATGATGCCATAAGTTTTGAATTTTAAAGCGATTGGTTCTGATTACACAGACAGCCATCATGCACTTGCAATTCCTCAGAAAATCAGAGAACACGACACCACAAATCATCGTACAGTTTAGCAGAGGGAAATTTAAAAATGGATTTAATATTTTGCGTTGAATGGATGTTGAAACGCACCTGACGGACGGCTTCAGTTGTTGCAACGTGGCTTTCTCCTCGGGTATCGGTTCTTCTTGAAGCAACGAGCGGCTTGTGTGTCGCAGAGGCACAGTCCCATTGAACACATGTGCGTGGTGGTTTCTAAATTTCTCGTTCAATGAGCTGTAGACGTTGTTTGGTAACTCACCGGCGCATCGGATATCGTGGTTGACGCAATTCCAGTTGTATGGCGTAACGTAGATGGCGCAGTCCTTCTTCGCAAGCATGTCGTAGCAGTGATCGTGTTGCTGGCAGCACCTGTCGATGGCGTCTACCGGGGTGCCATGGCCACCCATACCGCACCAGCAGCCATAGCCGTTGTAGTCCAACGCATTTCTACCAGTGACGCATTTGATCACTCCAGCAAAATCCTTCAGCCATCGCTTCGGCCTCACCAACTCTGCTCATGAAAATCTACGAGTTACACACAGTTCTCGCACAAAGCAAGTTTAATCTCCTCAGAGTAAGTCAATGATATAACAAGTCTTGAGGAAAGAGGCCGGACAAAACGGCTCAAGCAAGCGCTTTCTCGTTCAACGGTTTGCATTCAACAATAATTTGGTAATAAAAATGGCCAAAATATAAACCCATTACCCGATGACTGCACCATGTCAAGGTATTCCTTCCGGTGGATGAAATGATTTTTAAAGATTATGTCCGGAACATTGGGTAGTAATCGAGCGAACACAGGTGTTATTTTCACGTAGAAATTAGTGTATTTTCGTCGCGTCTTGCATAGAAGCTACTTACTACTGTCAGGTAATTTCAATCTGCCATAAGCAGTCCTATGTTTTCTATTCCAATGTGGTAAAAGGGTGAGAAAGGGCTCTCAAGATGAAAAACAGCTGGATCTCTTCTCTCATGCAGATTCAACCATGCTATGAAAGCTAGCGAAATATACCAGACCAATTGGATGAAGTAACTTTCACTAACCTGCTTGGCCAGGCTGCTGAGTTACAGCCATATCTCCTAGACGAAATTATTACTAAAGCCATGATCCTGATTCCCCAGAGGTTAGACAGCAGCCGGAGAAGCCATTTGGGTCAAAGACAGACGATGTTGCGAATACCTGGGTTACGGATCAAAGCGGCTACGGCTTACTAACGTTGGAAACGTACCACTGCTGGTTACTTCTAGGTGAGAAAGGCTTCAAGAGCTGGAGGCACGTAACGAAAATCAAGTTGAACACTGTATGGCTCACCGAAGTCAGACAAAATCAGGTGGGGCTGTGACAACTTAAGAATCAGAACCTCCTGGTCTAGGGAGGACCTACAGATGGAACTAATGAGGGAATAGGGTTCATTGTCCACAGAAAATTAAGGAATATTGAAATACAGGTAGATATCACTCATGGTGCTGTGCGAAGCTGGTTCTGAGAGTTTCAAGAAGATATGAATCCCATTTGATCGAAGTATTGGTGCCAACATCCTGATGAAAAGATTAAGCATTTTTACGAACAAATGGAGGAAATACATGAACATGGAAAGAGCCACTGCAAGTTAATTCTCGGCAATTTCAACGCCAAAGTCAGGCATCAGCAAGGAAACAAATGCCCTTATGAGTCGATTTGGTTATGGCGAAAGAAAGACACAGGTGACGACACTAGGGGTGTTTGCTGAAAAGAGCGAGTTATTTATTGCGAATATATTTTTCAGAAAAAAAACAAGGAAAACATGGATGTGAAACAAGGCCCAAACGAAGTAAAGAATAAATCGATATCATTTTTAGTAATGGATCAGGACGTGGCGGTGCTAAACAGGTTTAAAGCAGGAAACGATTACGGGCACATCAGACTCAAAATGGGCCTGAACCCAACTTCATAAAAAGATTACTGATGATGAGACTCAACATACTCGGCGTGGAAACACTACAGAAGAATCTCCCGCTATTCGAAATCAAACTGAGTGGCTGATCCGACGTACTTCACGGAATGAAAGAAGCAGAAGCAGTTGACGTTAACCCAATGTATGACTATATGACGAAGATAGTTACTGAAACGACAGAAACGTCTCCGGAAGAGGGATGGCGAAGACGAACCATAAGATCACCTAGCGCGAGAAAAACTCTAGAGAAAACTGAAGAAAAAGAGAAATGAAGAGAGTACCATATCAGAAATCAAATATGGAACATGTTGGACTTTGCAATACTTCAAGAAAACAAATAAATTAAGACATCCGACTATTCAGCTGCAAATTGGCATCAAGGTTGTAAACAAAGTGAAAGATTTTTTTTAGAAAACTGCATGACGATGAAGGCAGAAACACTTTTGGTGACGATAAGGAACCAGAAGGCATAAATGAAGTTAATAAACTCAGGATATTTTGCCATAAATGGAATGTAATAAAGCAATCGAAGCGATGCTCTTGGCCGACGACGGCATGACAGTGGAACTCGTGGAATTGGAAGGTGACGCAGCGATCAAGATGTTACCGCGCCTGTTTTCGCACTAAATATTTCAGACAATTGCAGTGTCACATCGGCGATTCTATTCCACATAAGGGAGACAGAGAGGATTTGAAAAATTACAATTTGTTACCAGTCATCTACAGGACTTTCACGGAGGTCAGACGAAATGATTTCAAGAAAAACTGGACGTTTCACAGCCAATGGAACAATCAGAATTCATAAGTTTATTTAGTACGATCGGTGATCTTCAAGTGGTACAACAATTGATTTAGACAAGCACGTTTCTATTGAACTTCCCAGCGCCTACTGCGCAACTGTGGTTAAAAGGTTAGGTCATTTGGTGCCGCGGTATGAAGGATCGATTTCGTGTTCTCCCTCACCGCTTTTTGGAAATATTTTCTTTCACAGAAATGGGTCGTCCGAACGCTGCTCTCGTGTGCCATACATTCTTCGATTTCCTATTTCAGTAGGGGGCCAGAGGAAAGTTTGGCCTAGTACTCGGCTTGGTACTCTTCACACTTGAAGAAGTACCTGTCATCGAAATGTCAAACTGGAGAAGATTAATAACCGTAGACAAACGCGAAGGATATACGGCAACAAAACAACCAGTAAGAAAATAAATCCACCCGCCTATCAAAGTCGAAGAACAATATGAAAACGTTTCCGGGATCGATCAAGCAGCACAACACGCCATATTGTCCAATGGTTAGATTGTGCGGGCATCGTAGAAGAAAGAAACTGGTTGAGCAAGGGCTTCAGAGAAGTCCTGATTATCGAATCGTGTGAAAATGTCAACCGGGACAAAGTATACGAACTCTGCTCTGATTGGATAAAACCCATCAAGCCGATGAACCAAAAACTACTTAA